CCCTCTCCTGACAGCAAAATGGATATATTTGCATGACTTTCTAAGATTTACAAATGGAGAATATCAGTTCCTCTTCAGGAACTCGAGCTGCGTCGGAGGATGCTTTGGGAACGTCCTTCAGCGTAACCGGCTCTGAACCCCGTGTGTAATCAGTCCAATAGATGAGTGAGACGTCATGGGCGGGTGACGTAATGACCAGGAAGCTATAAAAGCACATGCGGTGAAACCGGCGTCAGCTTTCTGTCATTCAGCAAGCGCTCTGTGTGTGTGTCACTCTGATATTCATTTGTGAGGCTGAGCCTGCATGTTAAGCCGCCAGCTCCGCGCCGGAGCCTGCCTTTTTTCCCTGACCTCCACACCGAGGTGTCAAGGTCGTGGGGAAGACCTTTCTCGGCCCGCCTCTTTATCCCCGCTTCTGATTACTATGACAATGTGGCGGGGATGATTGAGCACGGTTATAAGACGATGCCCCGGGAAGAACAGATGCTCGCGAGCTTTCTGTCTCCCGACTTGGTGTCGTCTTTAAAGGCTCCGGCATTGCCCTCCAAGCCGCTACTTACAACATCAGCGCTGGTGGGAAAAGAGTACTCGGCAGCGGGTCAGGCTGGTGCGTGTCTGCACACCATGGCGGTGTTACAGGCATACCAAGCCGCCCTGCTCAAACAGCTAAATCCGAGGATATTACCGAAGTCAGGAAGACCGCTGATTTGTCTCTCTGCTCCACTAAAGAGACCACCTGTGCCATCGGCAGGTCTATGGTAGCTTTGGTGGCGGCGGAGAGGCATTTATGGCTGACCTTATCTGATATGAAGGAAAGAGATAAGGTCTGCCTCATGGAAGCCCTGCTTGCGCCTTCTGGCCTGTTCGGCGATGCCATCAATTCCGTCGTTGATAGGTACCAGGAGGCTTGTAAACAGGAGGCGGCGTTCCAGCAGTTCCTCCCTCGCCACTCGCTAGCTCTGGGGGCTGCCGGGTGGGAGCAGCCCCCTCCGAGTAACGTAGCGGTGCTAAGAGGCTCGCCACCTCCGTGGAGGTCTCTAGAGCAGCTGGTTTGGGTATCCCCTGCCGGTCCGCCGTTACAGGGCACCGAGCTAGCTGCTCTCATTACACCAGAGGTCAGTCTCGAGAGACTGATTCCCTTAGTAGACTTTTTGGCAGTGTGAAAACTACTGCCAAATGTGTCTCAGTGGGTCCTGCACACTGTAGAGAGAGGCTACAGAATCCAGTTTGGTTCTCCTCCTCCTCGTTTCAAAGGGATTACTCCCACACTGGTGGGCCCTGAGCAGGCTCTGGTCATGGAACAGGAAGTAGACACTCTTTTGAGGAAGGAGGCCATCGAGGTGGTCCCTCCTCACGAAAGAGAGTCCGGGTTCTACAGCCGGTACTTCATAGTTCCAAAGAAGGATGGAGGGTTGCGTCCCATTTTAGATCTACGTCAGTTGAACCACTCAGTCATGCGACTGAAGTTCAGGATGCTCACACTCAAACAGGTCATGTCTCAGATCAGGTCCGAGGACTGGTTTGTCACGATCAATCTGAATACTTCCATGTTTCCATCCTTCCCACTCACAGGAAGTTCCTGAGGTTTGCTTTTGGGGGCAAAGCGTACCAATATCAGGTTCTTCCCTTCGGCCTTGCACTCTCACCACCCTGGCTCCATTGCGACTCTGGGGAATCTGCATACTGAACTATATCGACGATTGGTTGATATTAGCTCAATCAGAGCAGACGGTGGTTCGACATCGAGATGTCGTTCTCGCCCACATGAGAGAGCTGGGGTTAAGACTAAATGCCAAGAAAAGTGTGCTTTCTCCATTACAGAGGACCACTTATCTAGGCGTGGTGTGGAATTCAACCACGATGCAGGCACATATGTCCCCTGCTCGGATCGAGTCGGTCCTCACTACAGTCACGAGAGTCAGAGAAGGCCGGTCACTCACTGTCAAGCAGTTTCAGAGACTTCTGGGTCTGATGGCAGCTGCGTCCAACGTGATACCTCTTGGCCTGCTGTACATGAGACCCCTACAGTGGTGGCTCAAGACCAAGGGGTTCTCCCCGATGCGTAATGTTAGTGACGGATGCGTCCCTCACCAGTTCGGGTGCGGTCATGAGTGGCCACCCTGCCCACGGTCTGTGGAGTGGTCGCCATCTGGCATTGCATATAAACTGGCTGGAGATGCTAGCCGTGCTGCGTGCACTAAGACAATTCCTCCCAGACCTAAGAGGTCACCATGTGTTGGTGTGTACTAACAACACAGCGGTGGTCTCTTACATCAACCACCGGGGAAGTCTGTGTTCGCGCCGTTTGTACAAACTAGCGTACCAGATCCTTGTGTGGTCCCAGGGCAAACTTCTTTCACTGAGAGCAGTTCACATTACTGGGCATCTCAATTTGGGAGCAGACATCCTGTCGAGGCAGGGGCCGAGGCCCAGGGAATGGATGCTTCCCCCCGAGGTGATGAAGCATATATGGAGAGTTTTTGGCCAGGCTCAGGTGGACCTGTTTGCGAATCGAGAGACATCGCACTGTCCCCTCTGATTCCTTCTCACTCATCCAGCTCATCCACTACCAAGACTACCTTTCTTCTGGCCATATCTTCTCTCAAGAGAGTTGGGGATCTGCATGCCCTCTCAGTGGCCCCTTCCTATCTCGACTTTGTGCCCGGTCTTGCCAAAGCATTTCTTTACCCTCGAGTGGGGTATGTTCCTAAGGTCCCATCCTCTACACCACGGCCTGTCATACTCCAGGCCTTCAGTCCTCCTCCCTTCGGGGAACCAGACCTGCAGAAGCTTAACTGTATGAGTCCAGTGCGAGCACTGGACGCATACGTCCACAGAGCTTCCCTGTGGAGAAGGGCGGACCAACTGCTTTTGTGCTATGGTCCCCCTTATAGAGGTCTTCTAGCTACAAAACAGATCCTCAGTCGGTGAATAGTAGATATCACATAGTAGCCACACCGCTGTCACATAGTAGCCATTTCTATCGTTTGAGTCCTCTGATCTCCCTTCGCCTCTAGGGGTCAAGGCTCATTCTACGAGAAGTGTGGCGGCCTCCAAGGCACTTCTTGGCAGGTGTCTCGATGCAGGAAATCTGCGATGCTGTGGGATGGTCCATGCCCCTAACCTTTGTCAGGTTCTATGGCCTAGATATGCGAGCCACTCCCGGCTCTTCTGTTCTCTTGCCCTAGCTATGCAGGCTTCCACACTAGGCAGAGTTTTGGAATTCTGGCGGCATGGGCATACTCGTTCCCAAAGCGTCCTCCGACGCAGCTCGAGTTCCTGAAGAGGAACATCTCAGGTTACGCATGTAACCATGGTTCCTCGAGGGAATGAGACGCTGCGTCTCGGGGCCATACTTCTGGCATCTCTGCCAGCGCTGGCTTCATTCCTAGAAGCTGACGCTGGTTCCACCGCACATGCTTTTATAGCTTCCTGGTCATTACATCACCCGCCCGTGATGTCTCTCCCATCCATTGGACTGATTACACACGAGGTTCAGAGCCGGTGACGCTGAAGGGCATTCCCAAAGCATACTCCGACGCAGCATCTCATGCCCCCGAGGAACCATGGTGACATGTGTAACCTGAGACATTATGTCAGTTATGTACTGAGGAAAACACAAAGTCTCAAATGCATTGTAACCGCCCACAGTGCAGTTACTGTGGATTTTCTAACTGTAGTACCTTTTCCATGCTCCAGGGGGTTCTCTAGATTACTGAACCTCTGGGATAAAAGTCAGGGAAAGCAGAGTAAACGTAAGTTTGGTTGGAGAGAAGCATGGCTTCCTCTTGTGCTAACCTCATGTGTAGAGTCCGGGTTGGGAAACCATTGTTTTAAGCTCAACCAATTAAGTGGTTTCTTGTTCATTTTGTGTGGTGAACATTGCATTTATCTTGTAATTGGTGGTTTATGTTTGTCCTATTTGGGTTATTTAAATGTCACTGTGTTTGGTGCTAATGTTAGTTTGTATGTTTTCATATAGAAGGACTTTTTTCTTATAAAAAATACCTATTTATGAGACATTCTACAATGCTTATAATACTCCGCTTATCATTTGGGATTTTGGGGTGACCCATGCCAATAGCAACGATGATTTGACTGGTTCCACTGATTGATGATGATAGAGTGCTATCAGGATAAAATCATTACAATGCACCCTAATGTAGCGCCTGGGGATCTTCAAACAAAGCTAATTGGAGCTCATTCTAGAAAGGAAACTTCTGGGATGTTTGCTCCTCACTAATTTAACAACTCATCGTCATCATCTTCACTAAGGGACAGAGACTTTCTAGGAAAAAGCACTACTTAATGGACAATGAACAGATAAGCTCTTTTCTTTAGTAATTCTTTACTGATTCTGAAAGCAAAGGAGAACATTCATGCAACAGACTTTTTGCTTACTTGTTGTTTGTGTTTTTATGAGTTTTTTTGTGGCATTTCTTATATAAACACTTTTTGAGGATATTTTTGTGGTCAGCTTCTTGGTTTGTGTGTTACTGGGTCTGGTTAAACCAAAAATAGTCCGTGGAGTCCTCCCTTATAAATGTAATTGTAATTTGCCCTTCTGGGAGTGCTCAGCGGGACGGTTACAGCATTAAACAGCACAAATATATTCGCTGTTTGTCATGGTGGATCAATTTTATTAAGGGCTGCTTAAGAATAAGCATGCACATCAAATTATCTTGACTCATTGAACCTGGGTCAAATTGGTGAGATTCCGTAAACTGAAATTGGTGTTTTTGGAACCACTTTAGCCCCGATTGATTTGGAAAGTTTTTTTTTTTTAAAGTCAGGTTTTGGACTTAAATCTCCACTTTTCTTAGCGCACTTTATGAAACAGGTCTCATGGTAACAGATGAACAAAGACAGGAAACTGAACTGAGTTCAGCGCAAAACCCAGAACAGAAGATAAATCTGCACCTTATATGTATATTCAAATCAGTCATCATATGCCTGTGTTAGTCAGTGGTTGATGCATGTTAGTGACAAAATATGCTCACTGTTCTCTCTGGCGTTGATGGTCAAGTTGTACCAGGCTGCTGTTTCTCGATCCAAAAGGTTGGCCACATACACTGTCCCATTACTGGGATCAATTTTGAACATCTGTCGTGTGTCACTGCTCTTTAAAATGGTGTATCTGTTCAAGGAAAACAGTTGTTATTTGGAGTTATTTTTTTTCATATACTTCCCTTGTTTGTTACCATATGCAGATTTCAACCATGCACAAACAGCAGGTAAATCAAACAATCATGGACTGTCTGGCCAAGCACACAGTTGGTATGGCAAACATAATGTATTCTGTTCTGTAGATTTTGAATCTTTTAGTCTGTTTCTCCAGATTGCTCCAAATTTACAAACAACTGTACCAAACAACACATACAACTAGGGTAATAGGAAAACAGTGCCAAGTTCTTCGATCAGTTATGAATAATTTCAGTTATATTTGCAACTTCAATATCTACTATAAAATAACTTTACAGTAGATTATATAGCAGCATTATTTTGATCCTCTGATCTAACAGTATAAAACACAATTTGATTAGTGATTCTAAGCTACAGCATGTCAATATTTAAACAGTAATGTAAACAGCTCCCTTTTATTTATTAGTAGTAGTAGTAGTAGTTATTTCCCCCAAAGGTTTGGGGTTAAAAAATTTTTCAATTTTTCTTTCTTTTTTTTCAATGGTTTTGGGGACTTTTTTAACTAAAGTAGTGGGGCCAGTTTTACCTAGACACCATACTTTGTTCATATATTGTTGTCATCAAGCTGGACAACTTTTAAAATCACAGTCATTATCTCTGCCCAACAGGAACAGAATCCTCAGCTCTGTTTCACCTCTCTGTGTAAGGCCAATATGGATAAGGATTGAATACCTCAGTTACTCTTGGTGACTGAATTCTCAATAAGCAATACTGGTGAAGAGATATCTGAGTCTCCTTGTCTTCAATTCTGAATTTCCTACAACAGCGCAAATCTATGTTTATGGTTTTATCCATCCTTTTTATTGTATTTATCTATGTTGTATTTAACTCTTGTTCTAAATTATCTGATGTACTTATTATTAAATATGGTGAGACATAATTAATACATAATAGGTAATTTTATAAAAATGGTATCTTCCAATTTGTAGAAGCGGGAAAGATGTGTATATAAGATTGCTGTCACTAGAAGCAAACAGGACTAGTGAACGGATTGTTAAGGGTACTATTATAGCACTCTTTTAACACGGTACACTCTGGCCCCAGTTGTGTTCTATTTATTAGACTTTTTATTAATAATCTTTGTCTTATTTATGCTCTTAATGTTATTTACTTGCACATGTTTGCACATATGTCTTAAATAAACACCTATTTGGATGCCAACATTGCTCCCGTGATTGCATTTCCATGTAATTTTTTCCTCTCAGAATCCCTGAATATCACTGGCAAAAGCAGTTATTGTGTCACGTTGCTAAGTGGGCTTTGGGAAGTTGAGGGTTTTGTGATGTTTATGCCCATGACTTTTTTCTATCTTGACATTGCAGTGCAGCCCCTTACGTATGCCACTGATTGAGCTAGAAGTCGACATGGACTGTTCAAAACAAACTAAGCAATGTTTTGAAAGCTCTATAGAGTCACCATGGAGTCACAGTGTTTATCCTAAGATGTAATATGGGTAATATGGGTCAAAATGAGAAGGAAAAATTACCTTATGGCATTGTTGGTTGTGTCAATGTCTTTAGCATAGACTGTACCAACTTGAGTGCCTACTTGGGCACTCTCTTGAACTTTCCAATTATAAGGGGTTTCATAAAAGATGGGTGGTTCATCCACATTTGTCACAGTGATTTTGAGTGTTGTCCTGTCATGAAACTCATATGCATTCATAAAACGTGTATCTATGTTTTCATTGATGGCCTCTACAGCAATGACGAACCGCCTCTTGCTCTCATAATCCAGTGGCTACAGAAACAAGAGAACACTTATAAAAGACAAACATAAAACAGTTGTCCAGTGATTACCAGTGTTTATGGATTGAAATTCGAAAATTAACATTATGAATTAAATTATGAATTATCACTTAAAATATTTAACTAAAAATATTAATTATTTCGTACAAATATAAATGTGTCTTGAATTTGTTTCTGAGAACATCATGCCCAACATTTGTTAACAATTGTCATGGATATCAGAAAAAATATATACTTAGATAAATGATGATGGTTACATATGCATATGTCTGTATTGTACTGTAAGACCTGAGCCAGTATGACAATCCCCTCTTGAGTGTCAGGGTCTGTCTGGATTGTGAAGGTGCTGCTTTCTTCAAGATCTTCTAAGCTGTAGTTCATTTTAGCGTTCAGACCAACATCACCATCATCTGCCATTATTCTTCCCAATGTGGTACCCACTGGTGCTGACTCTGATATAGCAAATGTGTACAAATCTAGACATAGACGAAAATGGCAAAACACTTTCAATAACATTTATGTGCTTTGGTAACAGAAACAGGAAAAAAACTACATAATGCAATAAATCACTGAATGCTGATAATAATGTAAAATGTCATTACTCACACACCCATATGCATTTTTGACATGGTGGGAATTTTCCATTGACCTCTGTTAATTTTATGTCATGCTAATTATATTTTATGTCCTCTAATTCTTCCCCTAACCTAACATTTCCCATCACAACATTCTAAGATCTTATTTATTAAGCTGTTTGTATGGACCATTGGCTGCTATACAAAGAAAGCATGAGTTAGTGCTACTTCTTTTAGAGCTCTTTACTGTTTAACAAAGATCAGATCAAAGATCTGATCCAGAAACGTGGCCAAAATTACCACAGAACTCATGCAGAAGTTCAGACAAACCACTGGGTCTTTTGGTTGGGAAGCTGCAGTGGCAGGGAGCTTTGGATAGGCTGCAATGGTGGGTTACTTTTAAGAAACTAGGAATACTGAAGCGACAGGAGCCACAGGGGAAGCTGTAGTGGCCTGAGTGATTTTGGGGGTGGTATCTATGGTCATGACAAGAATCTCTGAGAAAAACACAACTTTGGGCATTGGCATTGGGAATGACAGCACCTTGTCCAGGACAGATATTGATGCAGAAAGTCCACAGATTCTGATTATGCGGCCAGTGCAAACATCTCAACTTAGACCTGATCTGAAAATGCTCTATAATATATTTTATAGAAGGCACTGCTTTATTGCATTACATACATGACATTATATGTTCATGAAAGTTTTTGGGGTTTAATATAAGTCAACTGTTTGATTGACTGAAATATGTAATGGTCATGTTTTGGATTCTCACTGTGCTGGAAAGTAGGTCCATTGTCATTGACATCCATCAGGCTGATGGTCACGGTGGTTGTGGCACTGTAGCCTCTGGTGAGTCCGAGCATATCTTTCACTTGAACCACAACCAGATATGTCTCCCTGGCTTCTCTGTCCATATTAGGCCATGATGTCACAATTATACCTGTGTTGGAGAAAAATAAAAATAAACATTGAGGACAGATAGTATTTGGAAATTTAAAGCTGCTGTAAACATTTTTTCCTGGAATATCACGCCTTCTATATGGCTCCGCGTTATCGTCCGGGCAGAACTATTGTTCCAGCCACCAAAGATAGATTCACAAATAACCTGCCTGATTTATCTCAACTGCTCTGTGTACACATGAACTAGACAAAATGACTAGCAACATGGGCACTATCTTCTCTAATACATTAGAAGCTGTTGCCCCCATCAAATTGAAAAAGGTTAGAGAAAAACATACTGCGCCATGGTACAACAGTAATACCCATTCTCTCAAGAAAAAAACTTGTAGTCTTGAGCGCAAATGGAGAAAAACTAACTTGGAAGTTTTTAGAATTGCGTGGAAAAACAGTATGTCCAGCTATAGACAGGCTCTAAAAGCTGCCAGGGCCGAGCATATCCACAAACTCATAGAAAATAACCAAAACAATCCAAGGTTTTTATTTAGCACAGTGGTTAGATTAACAAATAACCAGACGCCACCCGATCTAAATATTCCCTCACAGTTTAATAGTAATGACTTTATGAATTTCTTCACTGATAAAATAGATAACATCAGAAATACAATAACAAATGTAGATTCTACAGCGTATAATACTTCAGCTTCATTCATCACACCAAAAGATAAACTGCAGTGCTTTACAACTATAGGACACGAAGAGCTAAATAAACGTATCACTGCATCTAAACCAACAACATGCCTGTTAGATCCTGTACCCACTAAATTACTGAAGAAATTATATGAAATCATTGTGCGTACACATGATCCTCATACTGTGATCCTCACCGTGTGAGTAGTATATGAATTCATTGTGAGTTCACACGATCCTCATACTGTGATCCTCACCGTGTGAGTAGTATGTGAGCTCATTGTGACTTCAAACGATCCTCATACTGTGATCCTCACAGTGTGAGTAGTATGTGAGCTCACTGTGAACTCAAACTATCCTCATATGATATTATAATACCAATATGCACTGTGGCCTGGCCCCATGTTAGCAAATTAGTCCGGTACATGTGTTAGCCAGGTACATGTGAACCAGCCATCTTGCCAACTGAGATTAGTTAAGTTAATTAGTTAAGACAGGAACACACTAAACAACTGTAAGGCTGGTTATGAATGTAATTTGATACTTAAAACTGATCACACCCAAATGTGTCGGAGCCATTTGCATTCAGTTGGTGTTTACAGTCAGCATTTAAAATCATAAGTGTTTTCAGTTCAGTCTTCGAATGATTCAGTTAGTCGTTAAGTGTGTCCCTGGCTTTAGGTTGCATATCAGTATTTATGATCTGTTATACTTCCCAAATCAGATCATTACTAGACTACATTACTACCTCGGGATCAAATTTCAGTAACTATACAAGCATGTCTTGTGGAACCATGGATGCATGATTTGTTATGCATCCATGCATCCTAACTAATAGTTATTTTCACCTGTTAGGTTGTTAGTAACTCATTGCAATGATATATTGTTCTCTGTGTTTCAGGATGTGTCAAGTCTTTCCAAGGGGACAAAGAATTTGAAGTTAAGTGTGCAGTGACCTCACATTGTGACCACAGTATGAGCACAAAGTGAGTGTGCAGTGACCACAGTATGAGCACACAGTGAGTGTGCAGTGACCTCACATTGCGACCACAGTATGAGCACACAGTGAGTGTGCAGTGATCTCACATTGCGACCACAGTATGAGTACACAGTGAGTGTGCAGTGACCTCACATTGTGAACATAGTATGAGCACACAGTGAGTGCGCTGTGTGGTTACACTTTTAGCTCACTGTGACACACACATTGTGACCACACCATGAGAATCATGTGAGCTCATGGTGACATCATTGTGAGATCAAATTGTTGACTTGGGAAGAACCGCTTCTCAATATTATTAACTCGTCATTGTCTTTAGGTCACGTCCCAAAACCATTCAAGCTGGCGGTTATTAAGCCTCTTATTAAGAAACCACAACTAGATCCTAGAGAACTGGCAAATTACAGACCCATCTCAAATCTTCCTTTTATGTATAACATTTTTGAAAAAGTTGTCTGCTCAATTGTGCTCTTTCCTGCAAAAAAAATCTCTATGAAGAATTTCTTCATATGCTTCTTACGTCAGACCAAGGCTGTATCTCATTGCTAGTTTTACTTGATCTTAGTGCTGCGTTCGACACTATATATCATGACATACTCATAGATCGATTACAAAACTATACAGGTATTCAAGGGCAGGCTTTAAGATGATTTAGATCCTACCTGTCCGATCGCTACCACATTGTTCATTTAAATGGGGAGTCATCTCAATTATCACCAGTAAAATATGGAGTGCCACAAGGATCTGTCCTAGGTCCTCTGCTATTTTCGATATACATGTTGCCACTTGGTAATATTATTAGGAAATACGGGATTAGTTTCCACTGTTATGCCGATGATACTCAAATATATATCTCAACAAGACCAGATGAAACTTCTAAATTATCTAAGCAAACGGAGTGTGTTAAAAATGTAAAGGAATGGATGACCAATAATTTTCTCCTATTAAATTCGGATAAGACAAAGATATTACACTAGATGAGCCCCAGATACAGATCCCCTGTAAAGACCTTGTCTCAGACGACCACCGGGACAAGACCACAGGAACCAGATGAGTCCTCTGCACAATGTGACTTTGCTGCAGCCTGGAATTGAACTGCTGGTTTCGTCTGGTCAGAGGAGAACTGGCCCCCCGACTGAGCCTGGTTTCTCTCAAGGTTTTTTCTTCATTCTGTCACCGATGGAGTTTTGGTTCCTTGCCGCTGTCGCCTCTGGCTTGCTTAGTTGGGGACACTTCATTTCCAGCGATATCGTTGACTTGATTGCAAATGATTGCAAAGATACTATTTAAACTGAACTGAGCTGGATGATGACATCACTGAATTCAATGATGAACTGCCTTTAACTGAAAAATTAGTGTTTACTATTGTCCTTTTGCATTATTGACACTATTTTCCTAATTAATTTTGTTCAGTTGCTTTGACACAATCTGTATTGTTAATAGCACTATATAAATAAAGGTGACTTGACTTGACTATCTGACAGAGACCTGTTTTGATTTTAGCCTGTGTTTCACTGTCTTGCGTTTTGTTTTCAAGGACACTTATTTTGTTTTTTGTTCCTATGTTGTTGTACTTTCTTCCCGTTTCAGTTCCCTGTGTTTGTTGCTATAGTTACCTCCATTAGTTTGCATAGTAATTCATTAGCTCCTCCCTCTCCTAGTTACCTTGTGTATATTCGGTTCTACATGAAAGTTTTTGAACCGTTTAGAATTTTCTATATTTCTGCATAAATATAATCCAAAAGATCATCAGATTTTCATGCTCTTCTACAATTACCCCATCAACTTCGGTCAGAAATCTTGGTGTAACTTTTGATAACCAGCTGACCTTCAAAGACCACATTGCAAAGACCACTCGATCTTGCAGGTTTGCATTGCACAACATCAGAAAGATCAGGCCCTTTCTAACGGAGCATGCTGCACAACTTCTTGTCCAGGCCCTTGTCATTTCTAGGCTGGACTACCGGTTGCAGCTCAAATCAAGTTCAAGACATTGATGCTTGCATATAGAATAGCCACAGGCTCAGCACCCGCCTACTTCCACTCGCTACTACAAATCTACATCCCCTCCCGAAGTCTGAGATCCGCTAGTGAGCGACGCCTCGTGGTACCATCACAGAGAGGCTCAAAATCACTTTCCAGAACATTCTCGCTCACCACTCCTGGCTGGTTGAATGATCTTCCCACCCCTATCCTGAATGCTGAATCCCTGTCAATTTTCAAGCGACAGCTGAAAACTCATCTCTTTCGAAGCTACTTGACTTCATCATAAAAAAAAAAAATTCTCTCTCTTTATTTATTCCTTCTCTTTCTAGCTTGTACTGATTTGAACAATGTCTAAGAACTTGGTATTACAACCACTTCGTGCGTCTGTTTGCCTCTTTATGAAGAATCGCTTTATGTATCCCCCAATTGTAAGTCGCTTTGGATTAAAGCGTCTGCTAAATGACTAAATGTAAATGTAAATGCAATACCTGAAAGTTGACAAAGAGAACCCAATCAAACAAATGAGATGAAAATAAATACTTTGTCATTTGTTTACTCAGGAAAATGATCTAATATTAAATATCTGTGAGTGTCAAAAGTATGTGAATATGTAGGATTAGCAGTTAATTCGAAGGTAAAATTAGAGTCCATCTGTTCAGAGGTGTTTTCAATCAATGGGATGACTATCAGGGGTCAGTGTGTACCCTGTTTTATTTAAAGAACAGGAATCTATCAAAGTCTGATCATGTTTGTGGAAATTAATCATGACATGAGATCTCAAAGGAAAAAGAGTTGTTGTTCCTCATCAGGCTGGAAAAGTTTATAAAACAATCTCTAAAGAGTGCATGCTTATTCCAGTGCTCAAATGGAAGACATTCAAGACCATTGTTGAGACGATTCAAGATTGGTAAGTCTTTCTTTAGATGCTCTTTCCTTGGTTCACTAGTTTGCTCCAGTTAGGGATGGGCAAAGGAAGCCTCATGAAGCACTGAGGTTTTCCTCTGATTGTTCCGGGAAAAGATTCAAAGCTTTAAGAGGGTCAAAAACATAGCCATCTAGTCGTTAGTAAAAAATAAAATAGCCAAAAGCTTAAAAAACGTTTCCGAAAGAGAAGCACATGGGGAAAAACAAAGCAGAGGTCATGTGCTACATAAGTTTTGCCATGACCCTGCCACAAAATGTTTCAAACCAAAAGACAAGGGGTCTCATTTATAAAACTCAATGTATAAAAGTTTTCAGATTTTTAAAACCATGCGTATGCCAGAACCTGCGCAAAAATCCCTTTATAAGTCCCACTCAGGGGAAGATTGTGCGTACGTGCATCTCCACCCCGACGACTCCCCGAAATCACCATATATGAAGCTTACAATGCCTAGTTTTACTATGCATAACCTCATCTGCATATCATTTCCATGCACATTCCATCTATGTGACACCACGTTTAACTTTTATTTTTTTAAAAGTTGTATCCTTCAAATACAGTGGTATTTTTCATAATGTTGTGGAGATGCCTTCACACGACATCAACACCTCCATTCAGATGTGGTTGTACAGTAAGCTATCATTAGACCTATTCAAGCTGAACAATGGACCGTTTGACCACTGAATCCAGCAGTCGTCTGCCATAATATCGAAGTAAGTGCGAATTATTGATCATTGTTCTCACTAAAAATATTTTCTCATAACATGAGATCTGCGGTTAAGTTTAAAGATGAATTACTGTGCACCTAAAGCACTCCTCACTTAAAAATAAGTCTACATTTATTTCATTTTTGTTTAACTTCTGCTTAATGACTTTGTAATTTCAGTGTTCATTTACATTAATGTGTGGAATATTTTATGTAAATGTGAATATCAAAATGAAAACAGAGTTTAAAAGCATTGTTTACTTCATTACTTTTCTCACTCCAGGAAAAATAGTGAATATGCATGGTCTAGAATGTCCTTACTGTGCATACATATTTATGGTGTTCATTTTTTATAAATCCAAATATGTGTGCTAAAAATTGCGTACGCATATTTCTAAGCCCATTTTGTGCATACACAACATTTATAAATTAGACCCCAGCTGTCTAGATTTTTGAAACAGGTGTCCTAGCAGAGTAACCACAGGTCTAGTTTATCACATCAATATGGGCATGTTTCACAATACTTCATTGTAACACAGGGTCTTCATTTTCATTATTATACTGTGTTTGCGATTTCCTTTATTTAACATAAATGTAATTTAGTTTTATATTTGGCACCTAATGCACTGAGATTCAGATAATTTTATGTGTGCCTGTTTATAGCATATAGGTCATTGTTAAGCATAAGATTTGCACCTGTTTTGGGTTCCACTGAGAAGTAGGGCTCCCCTTCCAGGATGGAATAGATGAGTTTAGCATTGTTCCCAAACATAGGGTCATCAGCATCTGTGGCTGTCACCTGGATAACTGTGGTTCCTGTAAAGAGAGAGAATGGTAAATGAGCAAACGCTGGTTTATTCACACACATTGAACGTGTTACTCTCCTGGAATCTGCCATTGTATGTCTGTTTCTTATTTATGTCCTTCAGTGATTCTTTTCTTTAATAATTCCATTTAGTGTCACTACAATTGCTCCTAGCTGTCTTCTGTCCTGTCTCTTCTTTGCTGCTGTGACGAGTGGGGCTGCCTTTTGTATATTTTTGGGACTGTTATTAGTTTAAAATATGTTGTTTACCTCTGTTGGCCCCTATTAAAAGCATATTATTGAAACTAAAATGAACTAAACCTAAAGTTCACTAAAGATTCAAAAGCTAAGGGTACCTTTTGTCCATAAAAAAACAACAAAAACAAAAAACACCTGATCATATTGACAGACAGTATCTCAGTGCAAGTTAACAGCATATTCTTGATTACAGCACAAATTCATTTTGAATTTGAATTTCTTTTCTCTTTCTTTTCTTCTTTACAGTTTAAAATACAAACAATAATGTGTTGAATAAGCACTATTTTGAAAACACTTATAACATTTACTACATTTTACTATTACAGCTGTTGATGATTAACTAATAATTAGAAATATTGATTATATTTGCAACTTATTCCATTGCATTAAAATTGCATTTTTAGTACAGTGATCCTGTTGTATCTTTCCTGCCTGTCACTTTACTAACATGTCAGTGGGTGATGTTGAAGAACATGAAGGCAAGGAGGTGACAGTGAAGAAATAGGTGCAGATCTGTGTCTGTGCTGATGTACAGTATTTATCTCTATTAGATTAAAAAAAGACCCGGAAGTAGAAAACAAATAATTTTAGCAGTTCTGTTTTAATAAAAGCTATTTTTGGACCAACAAGGAATTTTTGAGCTCTAAAACGCACAGTATATTTTAATAGTACAATGACTTTGTGTCAAAAGATCAGGGACATTTATATTTCTCAAATAATTTTTCTTACAAGTGCCGCACCATAACCCTGATTTTTTTTATTTAAAAAATAAATTATATGAATAAATAAATTTAATTTTGTGTTGTCAACTGTGTTGCAATGGGCCATTTTCTATATCAGCATAAATGCTAACCAATTTTTTTTGGTGGAACTATTTCTCTATTCGTTGTGTATTGAAAAAAAACTGAATTATCTAGGATGTTATTGGATTTTCCACAATTCTATTCATATGTCAAATGTCAAACAAGCTTTCTGTGAATATTTGGTTGTGAGTCCTGAACAAATATAAAGAACAGTAACTCAAATTATTTTGTTGTCTTTTTTTTTTAGTATTTGTCAAAAATATATAAAAGAGGTCAACACACCTGTGGGACACATCTCTGGGATGCTGGATACATAGGGCTCATTAATGAATTCTGGAGGGTTGTCATTGATGTCCTGGACTTTAATGATGAACTCAGATTCAGGTTCAACAGGCTGCTTGGAGCTGCGGTTAATGGCCTGGGCTTGTAGAATGTAGAAGGGTTTCAGCTCACGGTCCAGACGTTGTGATAAGTAAATGTCACCTGTGTACTCATCAATTTTGAAGATTTCACTGGCTCCTTCACCTGAGAGGATGTACTTGATAGTAAAGTCCCCTGTGTCGTAATCTGATTTCAGCTAAATGAAAATAAACAGGATTTATGGCAAAAATACCAGCAAAATGAATAAAAATGCCTCAGAATGCAAAATGTTGGCAAATATGGCCTGTTATGAATTTTAGTTCAGTTTATGTGCAGATTCAAAATGTTAATACCATTTAACCCTCTGGTGCTCTTCTATAATTTTTGACTGAAATATTTTACTTTTTGTTTTTAGATTTTTTTTTTACTTCAGTATGAAACTTGCTCAAGGTTTTGGCACTTGCTATGTAAACACGCATAAACACAAAATTCAAGAGTTTTATTATCATATGTGCTAATACAATTAAATTCTTTGTTTACTCCTCACGAGTGTGACAGGGTAGAAGAGGAACAAACATAACTTACTAGAACAATAGAAATAACAAAAGAAATAGAGAATATACAGTAAAGTATAAACCAGAAAGAATAGTATAATAAATATCAATAGCATTAAAAGTAAATAAATAACAGAAAAAGAAAAAGAGAACCTGTAAGCAAATTAGAAAAACAATTGACAATAAACATTCTTCACAGTATAATGATGCAGTGCAAGTGACAATGTTAAAGTGTCAAGTGCTGATAAATCGTCAGTGTAAAGTCTAGTGTTAAAATTGTTCATGATTATCAGTCTAATGCATTATGAGGTGTGTTTGATGGTCCAGCAGGTAAAGTGCAGAGTACCATTGAACAGGCTGATTTTATCCTGATGATACAGGTGGAATTATCAGTGGGTTTTGACTATTTATCAGTCTAATGGCGTGGGGATATAAACTGTTCTGGAGTCTGGATGTTCTGGCCGCAGTGCTCCGGTACCACTTGCCAGACTTCATGAGGGTGAAAAAATTGTGGATGGGATGGGTGGTGTCCTTGATGAATGTTGCAAGCTCATTTGAGGATCCTTTTATTGTAGATGTCCTGCAGTGAGTGGAGATCTGTCCCTGTGGTTTTCCGGGCCAGCTTTATCACCCTTTGTAGTGCCTTTCTGTCATGTGTTGTGCTGTTGCCAAACCACAAAGCAATGCAGCAAGTTAGCACACTCTCCACAGTGCATCTGTTGAAATTATGGAGTATTTGTGGTGACATGCCAAACTTTCTTAGCCACCTAAGTACACTCTTTGATTGGCCTTCCGTACTAATTTTTCTGTGTTCTCTGTCCACTTGAGGTCCTCACAGATCTACTGGTTAGGAAGCTCAGTATCCAGTTACAGAGTGCATAAGGCAGGTACAGGTTATGCAGCTTGTTTATAGTTTATGGAGTTTATTGTTTCTGATATAGCTGTCTTTATTTTCTAGGTAAGTAAGAATTTTGCGAAGGGCAAATGAAAAAACACAAAAAAATAAAATCATGGTGATGATTTGAAAAGGTTACATGGTCCTGAAAAATAAACACTTTGTAATCCTCATGGTCAAAAATGACTATATTGGAAATTAATGGGAGACTAATGAAATTATATATTAGGTAATAATTTTGACAATGAAATATGTTGGGTTATGATTTTCAATGTAATCAGACACAACATTTTTTATTAACATTACACTATTTAGACATTATTGATCACATAGCCCAACCCCTAGCCCTAAACCTAACCATTTGTCAATTTAAAAGACTGATACACCTGCAGCCACAGTTTATTTAAAAAGTATTAATACTCCAAGTCTTCCAAGGCCAAATGATTGATTTGTTTGAGCAACAGACACAATCTCAGCCTCCATCATCCGACTTGCAACACATTCAAAAATTGCCGCCAGAAGCAGGGTTACATCAGCGTTGGTTATGAAATGCCATTGGCTCTTGTGTGTCTCGTGACCGATTGCGCCATGCTAAAGTTTGGTAGTGGTAGCTTAAAGTTCTTTTGAATGAGATATGACTGCTTTAATGGAGCAGGATAATTTTCAGCTATTAAATCAATGTGCTTCACACTGTTCTTTATATCTTTTTGGAATAACTACCGGTAATTGTATTTTGATTTGCCTGTTATGCATTTTATATTGCTGAAAAGTGGGTAGGTTTAGGGTCGGGGTGGAGTGGAGTTAGGTGCTCTAAAATATCTATGAATGTTTAAATGTATATAAAATCTCAGACCCTCTCATTCTCCCAGAACCAGGAATCCACAGATGGTACATTGGATGGTTCCCTGGACCACAGAAACAGTGGAGGTTGGAATGAATGGTCTGATTTCTTTGGAGTCTGATTCTGTCAGGAGAGCATCCTGGCAGAGGGATCTCAGAGGCACTGGCTCGAGTCTCCACAGGTGTTCACTCACTCTGACTCAAAATTGTCTTTGAATACAGGCTGCTGGGGAAGCACTGCTCAGACTCCGGTGGTGGAAGCATCAACTTCAACAATGAAGTGCTTAGATGGATCAGGATGTGTCAGGAGCGGTGCACTGGTAAATGCCAGCTTCAATTGCTTGAAGGCATTGTCTGCCTTGATTGTCCAGGACAGAGACATTGGTGTAACCGTAATGGTGGAACCGAGGAAATAAAATTTATCTGCCTCGAGGAACAGATGGTACTCACATAGCTTCTTCAGGACCTCTGTAACATGATAGCAATGTTCGGCCAAACTCCGAGAGTAGATGAGGATGTCATCGATGTAGACCAGCACAAACCTGTGGAGAAACTCCCGGAGCACCTTTTGCAGGAAGTCCTGAAATATACAGCACGACGCAATACTTATAGTGGCCTGTAAGGGTCACAAAAGCTGTTTTCCAGTCACCCCCCTTGCGTATCCAGATGAGGTTGTATGTGCTATGGCGGTCCAGTTTTGTGAAGATGGAAGAGCTGTGAAGGTATTCTAGGGCTGCTAGGATGAAAAGAAGGAATAATGGAACTTAATGGTGATCTTGTTCATTTCTCATTAATCGATGCATGGCCTCAAGCCTCCGACCTTTTTATTAAAAAAGAAACTGGAAGTAGCAGGGGAGGTTGATGGCCTAGTGTAACCTCGCTGAAGCCCCTCCTGAATGTACTCTTTCATGTCCTTCTGCTTGGGTAAGGAGAGTGGATATATTTTTACCTCGAGGCACAGGTTCACCAGAAATGAGGTGAGCTGGTTGGCAGTGTGAGGATGGGAGCTGACCCTGGGTGGTCTCCATACACCCCTGCATACGATGGGAGACATAGATGGCAAGTTGGATGAATCTCTCTAGTCCCATGCTGTCATCGTATGCAGCGAGATGCAGCTTGAGTCAAGGAGATAGTCTCTGATGGAAAGAATTTAGCAAGGCACACTCATTCCAACCACTGGCAGCAGCTAGCATACAAAACCTCATAGCATAATCATTAATGGACATTTTACCTTGGCACTGATAACGCCTTACTGATGGACAAATCACCATGGGGTTTTCCAAACACTTCTCTGAAATAAGCAACAAAGCTGTCCAGCAATTGACAGGACTTGTCTGCTGCTGTATTGTTTCCACTCATTTCAGAGATTTTCTTTCTGTTACCAATGAGATGATAAAATAAATCTTAGCTCTCTCCATAGGGAAGCAATGAGGCTGCATCTCAAGGGCCAGCAAACATTTTAGCAGGAATCCGTTGCACTCCTCCGTCGAAGCAGAATAGTTTGCCAGGTTCGCCATGAGAATCATTGTGTAGACAGGCAAGGGAGAAACAACCGATGCAGCGATTGGTGTGGGGGTGACAAGTTTGGTGAGGACACAGCAAAGAGAAAATACAATATCCATGAATGGAACAACTATTAAGTGCAGGGGCGGATCTAGAAAATTATTATTAGGGTGGCAAAGAGGTGGCATGAGGTCTATGAGGGGTGGCAAAAGCAAAGCAAGCCCCCATGCATAGTTTTTTGGGGATTTATGGTCTGACATACACAGTTGTGTTCACAAATATTGTATTACCATTAAGTAATCATCTATACTGTTTAAAATGAAAAATAAATAACATTTCAATATCCATCATGGCACCAAGTCAATAAAACTTCAACAGGTTATAAATGCTTCTGAGCTTGTATCACTAAATAAGACATGCGGTTCTATTAAAATTACATAGGCTACTTAGATGGTATAATAACGTTTAGTGCAAGTTTAAGAGCAACAAAAACTTTTGAATTTCCTAACATTAGAAAGAAATACAATAATATTAAACCACTGAAACTATTTGATTTTCGGTTATTAACAGAGTTGTGAATGTCTCTAATCACCCAGAACAAACTATCAACCATATACTCTAGCAACACCCCAGCAACTGCATAACAAAAGCCTAGCAACCACCTAGGAACACTTTAGCAAACATCTAGAACATCTAACTGACCAAACCATTTACGTTTTTTAAACAAGACTTTGAGACAAGCCAGCATAAATTTGTCTTTCAAACTTTTCAATCTAGTTATTACAGTTCTTACAGATTTTTTTCAACTGCTTACACACATTTTCAAAATTCTGCCTCTTTTTTTCAAAGCTTTACACACAAATCCAAGAATTGCACACACAAAGTGCAAGATGCCTCACATCTCTTGCAGAATTAAGCACTATATTCAAAATATCACAAACACATCTCAAAATCAAACATTTGCAAACACCTATGCAATAATATTCATTTCTGTTAGATTTTGGTGTGTTACATAGAGAATTGTGTGTTGTGTTTTGCAAAAAGGGTTTTATGAAATTGGGCCGAGTCAAAGGCCGAGAATTAGCTAATGGTTTTGCAGCTTTGGTGTGTGGTTCTGATGTTTTGAGTGTCTGCTTTCAGAAATTGTGTGACAAGTAAAGATGTTGTGTGTAAGCATTTGAAAAAAACTGTAAATGCTTACAATTCAAATACAGAGATGTCTTTCCTGCCCAGTGAACAAAACAAACTCTTACTAGGATTCAGGAATTATTTTTGCAGTTCAATGTCTATTAAAGTATACATAAATTAAATTAGAGATACAGATGTATAATTCAGTAATTAACTTTTGGGGGAAAAATTATTTTCATTTTACTACTGTAAAGTAATCTTGCAGTAAGGCAAGGCAAGGCAAGGCAAGTTTATTTA